ATTATTATTACTGTGATTTGAGTAAAAGTTTACCGTGAAAATTGATTTTTCACTCCACCTTTCATGCTCATTTTGGTTTACAACATTAATTATCCACAACGCAATCAATCCCACTTCTCTCCCTTCCTCCCCAGGTTTTTCAAGTTCTTTCATAGGTCTGCCCTCCCCCTCCCTGCCTTCAGGGCTTTATCCTTGGGCAAATTTTGTTCTTTTGACCTGATGTGGTTGACCATTCTAAGGAACTGAACGTTTCTCTGGTGTTAGTGTTCACCCCAGAGTTGCATCTATTGTTTGCCTGAAACTTGAGCCATGGTGTGAAGTCCTGATTTGGGGTAGAGGTAGAGGTCTGAGTGAGGGAAGGGTGGAAGACAAGGACCCCTGGTGGCTGAACATGATGAACGCACCTCGTCTCTGCTTCTAAAATTGCAAGCTTTGGTTTGCTCTGCAGAACACCAGCCCTGCGAATTGCCAGACCACTAGAACCTATCCCGTGAGGTCTCACACCCACTCTGAGCAGCTTATGCTAGCATCTATGCACTGTCAAACACCTTTCTCTCAGAAGGGAATGCTGGCAAAATAATGTTCTACTTTTCATGATGCAATGTTTTGTTCTGTTGTACATGGAGTCCCTGGGAGTCAACCAAGTTGAGGGCACTTAACAACAACAACAACAACGTGAGGGGGGAGGGCTGTGCTGCAATCACGAAGGCACACGGTTCAAATCCACCAGCTGCTCCATGGGAGAAGGATTGGCAGTTTCCTTCTGTGCAATTTACAGCCTCTGAAAACCCCCTGGAGGGTCAGTTATGAGTTGGTTACAACTTGACAGAGCACAACAACAGGGATTTGTCACCCCTAGTAACTACCAGTGACCAGGTCACCACTTATTTTGTGTTTTGTCGTCAAATGCATCCCTGGCCAAGTTGAACAGTTTGATTCTAATGGTTGGCAGGCGTAGGGAGCTGTGTTGTGGGCACGTCGCCCTGCTGCCTGGGTGTCGGAGCGGTGTCACACAGCTCCTGGCAGAGGCTCTCAGCTCTCAGGTGACCGTGGCATTCACCACAGAGGAGTGGGAGGCAGGCAGGGGCCCTGAGAAAAGAATCAGGCCAAGCTCAGGAGGTAGAGAGAGATGAAGGAGTCTGAACTAATGCTGGACCACCACCGCCATCTGAGCAGTGCCTGTCTCTCTGTCCTTGTGCCCCACAGACCCTCAACATCGTGACACCACGCGTCCGGCCTGAGGACTGCAGTATTGGGCTCCTGCCCCGGAACCATGACAAGAATCGGAGCATGGACGTTCTGCCTCTGGATCGCTGCCTGCCCTTCCTCATCTCGGTGGATGGAGAATCCAGCAACTACATCAACGCAGCGCTGATGGACGTAAGCGGAACCCTAGCAGGGAATACTCCCAACTGGCAATCCAGGGAAAGGCTTCTTTCCAACACGGAGGGTGGCTGGGCCACAGGCCCTGACTGCCTCCACCAGCCAGCTTCTCCTTTTTCTGGTTTTACTGTCCTCTCCATCCTGGTTACCAAAGACCTCTGTCCCCTGTGAAGGCTCTGGCCCAAACACTGACTTAAGCTGAGCTTACCCCACCCTTTGCTCATATAAAAAGCCAGAGTGAATAGACCGAAAGTCTAAAGTAGCTCCTATCATCCCACATGAGGTGACAGCCCAGTACTGTTCCGGTCCTTTCTCACAGAACCTTCTGAAGGTCAAGATTCAGTTCAGGAAACTTCCTACTGGCAAGGCCTTTATCTAAGAATGCAAAAATGGTGCTAGGGTCTAGCCTTGGGACTATCAGGTAACTCCTGTTAAGGGAAGGATAAGGACAGCATATAGTGGGTTCTCAGTACTCAGCTAGTGGGTAAGAGAAGGCAGGCAGGCAAAGGACTATGGAGTCAGGGCGTGGGCATCTATCCCCAGAATCCTGACATGCCCTAGCTTCTCTCTTAGGGCAACTGCCTCCTGGTCTTTACATGGAGTCTCACGATCTCAATATCAAGTCCAAGAAAGACACTGTACCCCGACCTGGTTGGGACTAGCGTATCCCAGGGAATTCATGCTCCTGACTGGCATGCTGCTTCCTGGATTCTCCAGCTACTGCCAGGAATAAGGCTCTACCTCAGGAATGGAGAGACATTTGGAACTGGGTCATGTACTCTCATCCAGGTGCTTGTTCAAGGTCACCCAGGGGGCTAAAGGCATGGCAGACACTCAAGACTCCTGGGTCACACTCTACTCTCTGAGCCTTCCTACATTTTGCTTCATTCTGGGAAAGGAGGGAGGACGAGCAAGAAAGGAAGACCCTCAACAAGACAGACTGACACCGTGTCTGTAACGATGGGCTGAAGCGTATCGGAGATTGATTGTGAAGACGGCACAGGGTAGGGCTGGGCACAGATCTCTCATTCTATGACTGTGACTATGATTCATAGTCAACTTGATGGCCCCTAAGAACAGCTAAGCACACTGTTTGCTCCATACAGTGGAGATATCTTGCCTCTTTAGAAGTTTAGATCTGAGAAGTCAGTTGCTTAATTGGCTATGTTGTTCTTGTATCCATCAAGTCGGAACCAACACACAGAGGACCTTCCAGCAGGTTTTCAGAGGCAGTCAAATTGCATGGGAGGAGATTGCCCATCTTTCTCCCGTAGGGAAGTTGGTGGGTTTGAACTACGTGCCTTTAGGATTGTAGTGTGCTCTTTACCACCAGGCCACTAAAGCTCCCTGGAGTTATTCTGGACTTTGATTCTTCTCAATGTTAGCTATAATTTGTTATGGTCCACACAGTCAAATGCCTTTGCATGGTCAAAAAGTAAAGCCAAAATAGACGTTCTTCTGGTATTCTTTGCTTTCAGCCAGGATTCATCTCATGTCAACAAACTGTCTAATGACCCCAAGGATCTCTCTGACTGCACCTTCTCCAAGACATACATATTCGTCTGTTCTTTTGGCAGCCCATGGAATGAATATTCAGTCCTCTTCTCCATCACAACAGCTCAAAGGCATCAGTGCTTCTTCTGTCATCGTTATTCACTCTCAAGCTCTCAGCAGAACAGCAAGTGATTGAAAAGACCATGTTGTCAATCAGGTGCACCTCAGTCCTCAAACTAACATGACTCCTCAGTAAGTGACTATGAGCCCTGCTGAAGTCTCCCCACCTGAGTCCAAGGCCATGTCTATCCAGCCCACACAGAGCTTTCACATTCCTCCAGAACAAGCTGGAACGTGAGTGCTCTCTCCTGGAGTCAAGGCCAACTTCCGTTCTGACCTCTAGTCCTCCTGAGTTTTCTCCCAGAGGTTCTGGGTAGGGAGAACAGGGAAGATCAATGCCTATCTCAGGTTTCGAAGGTCTGCCCTGGTATCTGCCTACAGGGTGCCCTGACATTTGGGGGGTGGGGGGAGCCCTGCCACTGAGTCCAGAAAGAAGGACTCTTGTCTTGGTTACAACTAGTGGGAGATGAAGAAAGAAAGACATTTCTCTTTGGCTCAAAATCTCCCCACATCAGTGGAGAGAGAGAGAGAGAGAGTGTGTGTGTGTGTGTACACTCATAGGTATACATGTGCATGGCAAGGATGGGTGAGGTGAGAGGAAGGCCTTTGGAAGTGCACCCATAATTCCAGGTTCTTCTTAGCTATGCCACCCACTTGTCCTGATTTCCCTTCCTTGCTTTCCACAGTCAAGCAAGGATCAGACATGCTCCTGGCCTCTACTTAGTAGGTTAGATGCTGCCTGGAGTCAAATACCTTCTCTGAAGCTCTGATTGTATTCTCTTTGTCCACAGGGTATTTTACACGGGCCTTTGCCTTTCACACATACACACTCTGTGTTTTTGTCTCTGCCTGTTCGTCTCTCCCTCTCTCCCTCTCTCTCACACACACACACACACACATATTTAATAAATAAATAAAAAGTCCTTCTCTGTATTCCAGCCCGATCTGTGCATTATCTGGTAACCATAGCAGCTTTGCTCCTAGCAGAAAACTATGAAGTCCTCTGGGTTAATTTTTAATGTTTCCCCTGGTAAAGGATGATGTTATCCATGAAATGGATTGCCAGCTGATCCCTGAAACCCGGCAGGAGCACGGATCTTGAACATATTTTCCGATAAGGCTCTGTCAGGCGTGCTGGCCTAATAGAGCATTTATCACAGAGACAGGGAAGCAACATTCTCAGAGTGGTGGGCGCTGCGTCTGCCCGAGCCTGGCTCATTTCTCATTGGGGTATTTTTATCCCCACTTTCTGGGTGAGATACTGACGGTCGGAGTCTTCCTGTCACTTGCCCGAGGTCCATCAACTCTACCTCGAGCCTGTTGGTTTTTAAAGCTTTCTACATCCACAGAGTTTGGCTTTCATGAAAAATAAATGGCTGCTCGCTTCTCGACCCTCCTCCCTTGCCTTCCCACTGCCCAGCAGACAGGACTCTGGTGCTTGTGTTACATTCATGGCCCAAGACAATGCCCTGCTGTCATTCCCAAGTTCTTCTCCAAGTTTAGATGGCAGGGCCCTCTTCCTTTCTCATCACATCCTTATTTTCTTGTTTCAATCTTTCTACTGATACTAGTTCTAAGTTCTCTAAGAACCAAAGAAAGCTTCTGAAGAATGTGGACTATTTCTCGGGTTACACATACCACTTAGAGAAGAGAAGAAGCTCCCCCAGTCTCTCCAAATATCCCCTCAAAGGGCAGTCAGAGCTTCAGATGTGCTCTGGAGTCACACAGGGCATTGCCTCTGGGCCTCACTCTCTCATCTGTTCAATGGACCTGAACACATCTGCTCAAGTTCTGAGTGGCTCCTGTGCGATGCTGGGCGCCCAGGATGATGCTGGGTGCCCAGGATGAAGTCCCAGGCGGCTCACAGTCAGACTCCTACTTGCCAACCTTTTTATATGTAAATCTCATTTAATCACCCTTTGCAACAATCACCCTGTTAGAGCTGCGATTCCTATTTCACAGAGAAGAATCCTGAGCTTTGGAGAGATCTAGCAACTTAACCAGTGCTTAGATGAAAACAATTTTTTTTAAAAGCAAATAATGCTGGAAAAAAGGGATTTATGCATAAATAAATGGATGGATGGATGGATGGATGACTCCTGGCCTACCTGTGTCCAGGTCAAGGTTTGAATCCCAGGTCTGAGAGATTCTTCAATTATGTAGGCTTTGCCTTGTTGGCTCACAGGACCTGCTGTCCTCTTTGACCATGTAAATCTCAATTCTAGTCTCAGACTGGAGGGAGCTGGCTGTAATACATACCTTTAAGGAAGCCCTCTCCTGGGCCTGCCCCACCTAGACACAGGGGCTCACATTAGCCCTAAGGTCCCAGGAAGTGTCCTGCCTGCCAGAGTAGCCAATCTGAGTCTTTCATTTCATATTCTAATGATTATCATTTGCTGAGTTCCAAGACATAAGTAATTTATTTGGATAATTCCCATCCGAGTGGCACTCCTGTGATATGTCTTAGTCTGGAGGATAGCGAGTCCATTAGGAGAAGGTCTCCTTCATTGCCAGGGCACCAAGAGATAGGGAGCAGGCAGGTGCGCTGTGTAATCCACAGCAGTCTCGGGGCCGCTGGCAGCCATGGGGGCCGCCTCACCGTCTCTGACTGGCATGCGTTTGACCGAGTTTCTGCCATTTCCTTTGCCAGAGTCACAAGCAGCCTGCCGCGTTCGTGGTCACCCAGCACCCTCTCCCCAACACGGTGGCAGACTTCTGGAGGTTGGTGTTCGACTATAACTGTTCTTCCGTGGTCATGCTGAATGAGATGGACACCGCCCAGGTAAGAAGCCGCTCTGGCCTCTGCCCTGGATGGGCTCGGGTGGGCAGGGCAGCCAGGCTCTAAACTTGAAGGAGTGTCCTTGAAGGCCATGGCAATGACACCACACCTGGGAGCACTAGGCCAGCCCACTCTGCCCCAGGCTCCCCCCAATTCTAGCCATAATACCCCTGCCTCTGAGTTTTGTTCAAGTCTTCCCAGGGCCGAACATGCTCACTCCGTCTCCCGGATCCTGCGTGGAGTCTTGTTCCAAATCAAATCGAGCTTGCAGAGACTTCTTCTCCCTGCCCAATTCTGTGTGTCTCTATCTTGAAAAATACCTGATGGTCACAAACCTCATGTGGCAGTTGGCCACATCCACCAGCCTTGAAACCCCTGCAACGCCGTCTGCACTGGCAGAACTGGAGCTGAACCTTGACCCCTTTGTATCTGACCTCACTCTTAACTCTGCCTTCTTCTCAGTTGGCCTTCAGGCTCTCCCTAAGCCTTGTGCACCAACAGCACACCCCATACTTAAACAGCCTGGCCCAGGCCATGGGACAGTTCCTGGAAGCAAGAGGTGGAGGAGAGAAGGCCAACCTTACAGCCTTTTGAAATGCAGCCCTTTCACTGTCTTGAAGGACACTCACATAACCCAGCACACTGTGTGGTACAGGCCTTGTCTAGAAGGAAAAGGATAGAGGGAGCCAAGCTGTAGCCTCAGCCCTCCTGGAGCCCACAGTCTGGCTAGAGACAGATGAGCAAATCCTCCCAGCCTCATGCGGCCGTGCAGTAATAGAGGTCAGCAGCAAAGTGCTGTGCTGGCCGGGAGCAGGGAGCAATTAATTCTGCCCAGAGGGTAAAGGAAGTCTTCAAAAAGAAGGTGACTTTGGCCTTGAAGGAGGAGTCATGGGCATCAGGTGATGACTAACTGGGAAGATGCATTCAGAGCAGAGGGAACAATGGGGACAGAAGGAAGCAAGCATGGAGGGGTGCAGATCTGTTCACGGAACAGCTCCTGTTCCATTGTGGCCGGACACTGGGGGATCTGGCAAGAAGGACAGTGTGGGGAGGCCAGAAAATACAGCATGGCTCACTTACAGAGGGATTCGTATGCCAAGCTAAAGAACTTGGTTAAACGTGCCCTATAGCATGGTGTCAGGCTTTTTAACATTTTTATGATTTGAGTGGAAAGTTACATGGCAAATGAGTTTTCCATTCAACAATTCATCGACATCGCTATGTTTCATTGATTACGATCCCAAATTGTAACTGCATTCTTCCCACTTCTGCCCTGTGCTTCCCATTTCCATTCACCCTTCTGTCCTATCCCTTCCTGCCTTCTGAGTTTTATCTCTAGGCAAATGCTGTCCTTTGGATGTTGTGTGGCTGATGTTTCAAGTTTAATGATCATCTGATAGGCCTGTTGTTTGGCTGGAAGTTGAGTCACAAGTATGAGTCCAGATCCAGCCTTGAAGGGTGAATTAGGGCCATTGTCTTGGGGGTTCCACCAGTCTCTACAAAGCCAGAAACCCAGTCTTCCTTATTTTCACTTCTGTTCTACACTTGTATACCATTCTTTCTAGGACCTCCTATTGTGATCCCTTTCAGGGCAACTGAATGACAACTAGGCAACAACTAGTTCTTCTGACCTCAAGGGGATGGAGACAGTTCACATGCCCATTTGTCTTTTGAACTAATATTAATAGCCTTTGAAGTTCTTCACTCTTCTTCATTCCCAATGAAGAGAGACCAATAGTTGCAAATTACATCACTTCTCAATAGCTTTTAAGCCCCCACTCACTACCTACCATGTTACTGTTATTAGGTGCCATTGAGTCAAGTATGGCTTGTGGCAACTCTATGAACAACCTGAACCATGTCCTATCCTCATCGTCTCTGACACAGTTGAGCCCCTTGCTGCAGTTACTATGTCAGTCCACCTATTTGGGGGTCTTCTCTTTTACTAAACCACCTTTCCAAGCAAAATGTACTTTTCTAAGGACTAGCCTCTCCTAGCAATACGCCCGAAGTATGAGATGAAGCTTCAACATCTTTGTCTCCAAGGAGCACTCTATCTGTACTTTCCCAAGACATATCTGCTAATTATTTTGGCAGTCCACGGCATATTCAGTACCTGGTTCCAACACCACAACTCAATCCTGGGGAAATGGGGCTGACACATGAGATGTAATTTTTTAAAAAAATTTTTTTAAAAATTTAAATTGAAATTTTAGTGAAAGTTTACCAAGAACTTAGATTTTAATTCACTTATTTTTGAACATTTTCCTCCCTTCCCCACCTCTCAGCCCCTCAGTTTGCTTTTCTCTTAAAAAAATAAATCTTTCAGGGAGCTCTGGTGGCCTAGTGGCAAGAAGCTGCACTGAAATCCCAAAGGCACGCAGAATCCACCAGATGCTGTGCTAGAAAAGGAGGGGCAATCTCCTCCTGTGCCAGTCGGATCCGACCCCAAAGTACACAGGAGGAAAAAAATTCTTTCATTGTGAGATGCAATTTTTATAGGATGGTCACAGTCAACTTAGAGCAATGGTGTCTCTCTGGAGACTAAGGTGCGTCTGATACAGGCCATGGTCTTCACAATCACTTGTTATGCATCAGAGAGTTGGACAATGGCCAAAGAGGATAGAAGGAGAATTGATGCCTTTGAGCTGTGGTGCTGGAGAAGAGTATTGAGAATACCATGGACTCCTAGGAAAACAAACAGATTTGTCCTGGAAGGGGTTAAACCAGGTGGCTCCTTGGAGGCAAGGATTCTGAGGCTTCGTCTGACATACTTTGGACATGTTGTGAGGAGAGACCGGTCCCTGGAGAAGGACATCATGCTTGGTAGGGTGGAGGGACGACGCAGGAGGGGAAGACCCTCTGTGAGGTGGATTGCTTCAGTGACTGGGGTAATCGGGATGGGAGTGTCAGAGACAGTGCGATTGGCACAGGACAGAGCCTAGTTTAGGGCTGTTGTACATAGGGTCGCTATGAGTCGCAAACGACTCGATGGCACACAACAACAACAACATGAGCACAGACCCAAAGACGGGGAATGAGTGCGCCCATGTGACTACTCAGAGCAGAAGTGCTCCTTCTAGGAGGAAGCAAGGGTACATACATGTGAGGCACACCGAGAAAGAGCAAGTAGGGTAGTGTGACTGGAGCAGAGAGTGGAGCCAGAGAAGTAACAGTGCCAGGACCTAGAAAGATTGTAGGATGCTATTTAGAGAGAAATGGGAAGCCAGTGAAAGATTTAGAGCAGAAGAGTAACATGATTTGAGCTTTGTTAAAAAAAAAGAAAGATCCCTCTGGCTGCTGTGTTAAGAATAGACTGCGGGTGTAGGAAGGGGTGATGGTTACTAAGCGAGGGCACAGAGCAGACAGGATGTAAGGCATGAATCTGGGCCCCCCGATTATGGTGACTCACAGCAGAGCAGTAGCCACGGGATAAATTCTAGATGTGTCTCAAGAGTGATGTCAACAAAATGTCTTGAGACATTCCACATTGAATGTGGAAAAGAGAGGTCAAAAATGACCCTAAAGATTGAGATTTGAACAGTGGAAGGGTGGGAACAGAAATAACTGCAGAGATTGAATCTATCGAACCAAGAGCCTGACAAAGTTCCAGAGCCAGAAGGCGCTCCTGTCCTTCCCCTTTACCTGCAAAGGTAAACAGGGAACTTTGCCCCGTGACCTCAAGGGTGAAGTGGAGTCTCTGAAGTCCTGTCTGTGATTCTCATTTTGGAAAATCAGAAGCCAGACACGGAGAAAAAAAAACCCACTTTGGGTGAGACAGACGTCAAGGTCCTTGGCTACATCTTCCCCCTCCATGGGAGGTCCTAAGTGAATGAAGGATTTTTCTGCCCCAGGTGTTGCTCCAGCCTTTAAGAATTGGTTCTTTAAATTGCAAAAACATCGGGCTCAGAAGTGCTGCGAGGTTGGCTGCCATATGCAGCTGGCAAGCAGCTCCTAAAACCAGATGAATAGAGCACTTATTGATATAAATATCATCAGCACAGCAGCTGGGTTCCTTGCGAAAATAAACAATGACACAGTGTGAGCATCAGAAAAGCTGCCCTTGGCACCTGGAGGAGTGGTTCTTTGAAGTGACATAATCATCTGTCTACCAGCACGCTCATGCCAAGGTAACACAGGGCTGAGGCCAGCCCTGAAACATGGACAGGAGCTCATTTTGTTCAAAGCATCCCTGGATTGCTCCCGAGAGGGCCAGGATCATACCTTGTAGTTTGCCTAGGGACTGTTTAGTCTCCAGACTTGTGTTGAGGGTTTGTCGTACGGCTATCCGTAAGTTACCTGTCAATTGCAGCCAATTAAGGGGAGGAGGAGATGTGAGGTCTCCTAGGCTTTTCTTTTCTTGCATTGCTGCCCACATCTGCTCAGAATCCCAAACTATCTGATCCAATCAGCCATTGCTAGATACAGTATTCTATCCTCCAGCGAATTCTGTTTAAAGACAATTATGACCCGTAGGAGCACGAGATGAATACTGGTTAAGCAGCAGCACTTGGTCTTAGAGGTTTTTCCAGTTAAGACTCAATGGGCCTGTGAACAGTTTGGTGGTGGTGCTGTTTGTTAGGTGCTGTTGAGTCAAGTGCAACCCTGAGCGACCCGATGAATGGCAGATCTGAACCCTGTCCTATCCTGCGCCATCCTCACACTTCCTGACACACCTGAGCCCACTGCAGCAGTTACTGTGTCAGTCCACCTGGCAGTCTTCCTTTTTTTCACCGACACTCATGGCTGCTAGCAAATGACTCTGTGTCTCCCATGCCCATCACAAAGAACACTTACACCCATTCCAACAGCACTGACAAAGTCGTCTTCTTATTTTCTCTGTGGATGGGGTGGAAAGCATGGGAGAAGCAGCAAGGGGTTCATTTCATGAAGGAACAGGCTTGACACATCCTTACTCTTTAGAATGTGAAGCTTATCCCCCATAGAAACCATGGCATTTTCTAGTATGAAGTCTAACGTGCCCAGCAAGTATATCTATGGAG